AAGTCTTTGAATAATTGTCTTTCTATTTTTTTCTAGGGTGACAAAGAAAATATATCAAGACAGTCCGTATCACTACCAGTAAAACGAACTGCGTCCGGAGCTGTATTAGCAACACTTCAAGCAGTATATAATAACCCGTTTTCTGTTGCTTCCACATCAAAAACAAACGTAAATATAATCATCATAAATTTCTATACAATTGTTTCTCAGGAGGGGGCACAATTTTGTTTATAAAAGAGGTGCGACCCCCTTTGTATTGAAAAATAATAAACAAAAACTACATAAAAGTCTATAGGTACAAAAGATTTTGTTTATTAAAGGACTGAATTTTAGTGTAGTATTATAAAAGAAATATTAGTTATGGGGTCACTTACTTATTTTTTTGCTTGTTTTTGGTTTATTATTTTGTATATTTATGATAATGAAAATCAAATAGAAACATGTTTAATTGCAAATTTTAAAAAGATATCCAACGTCATCTGCAGTTTGTCACATCTTTTTATTTCTTATATGTCAGACACTGCCCTTTGCAGTCTGAAATTTAATAATCTATTTATATTCCTATTTTATATTAAAATAAAATTTCAGGTGGAAGATATGCCAGGTCCATCAAATAGAGTGCCCGCTACTCAGCATTCAGTTCCTGTTTCATCCAAAACAGACAAAATGGATGCCTTAAAGAGAAAACTTATTTCAAAGAATAAAAAAATAAAGGCATTACGTCAAAAATGTACTAGATTAAGAAAAAAAGTTGCGCAATTCTCAGAAATCATTTCGGAATTAAAAAATAAATTAAATCAAGAAGATGTTCACATATTAAACAACATCCCAGGAAAAAACAAGAGTTTTTTAGTGAGATACATTAAAAAAGAGCAGGGATTGTCTTTAGATAAAAGATATTCACCTGAATTAAGATCCTTTGCTCTTCAACTTCATTTTTATTCTCCAAGGGCATACAATTATGTAAGAAACACTTTTAATACTATTTTGCCTCATCCAAAAACAATTAGTAGTTGGTATAAAAAAATTAATGCTGAACCAGGGTTTACTGCAGAGTCTTTTGATACTCTGGAAAAATTGTCCAAAATGAGTGAGCATCCCATATATGTGAATCTGTGTATAGATGAAATGGCTATCCGGAAAGGTTTGGTATGGGATGGAACTGAAAATAAACACAAGGGGTATGTTGACACAGGCACAGAAGTGTCAGATGATAGCCTGCCTCTTGCGACTCAAGCGTTAGTAATGTTAGTCACTGCTATAAATGCTGCATGGAAATTACCCATAGCATTTTTTTTTATAACTTCAATGACAGGTGAACAACGTGCTAGTTTAATAAAATCAGCAATAGAAATGCTTTATAATATTAATATTTTTGTATGTGGCTTAACATTTGATGGAGCTGCAAGCAATATCAGTATGGCGAGCAATTTAGGGTGTATTTTTAATTTAAAATCTTTAAAACCATACTTTACATACAAAACTTTAAGAATTCATGCTTTCTATGATCCGTGTCACATGATTAAACTCATAAGAAATACTCTAGGTGACTATAACACTTTGGTTGATGAAGATGGTAATGAAATTAAATTTGACTATATTAAATTATTATATGAAATTCAACAGAAACAAGGTTTACACCTTGCAAATAAGTTAAAACAAGCTCATGTTTATTTTAGCAAACAAAAAATGAAAGTAAGACTGGCCACTCAATTACTGAGCACCTCAGTAGCCGATGCACTCTTATATTGTAAAGATAATTTAAAACTTGAAAAATTTCATGAGTGTATGGCCACTATAAAATTTATCAGAATAGTAAATGACGCTTTTGATATTTTAAATAGCCGAAGTATGTATGTGCCTGGATATAAAAAAGCACTATGTGCTTCCAATATTGAGAACTATATTAGATTTATTAAAGAATGCACACAATATTTATCCACTTTAAAGAGTCTAGATGGAAAGTTAATAATAGAATCAGGACGCAAAACGGGTTTCATAGGTTTCATTGTCTCCTTGCAAAGTGGCATCAATATGTTCGATGATTTAATTATCAAAAGAAATTTGAGATTTTTACCTTTATATAAAGTGAGCCAAGATCACTTAGAAATGTTTTTTGGCATGATGAGAGCAAGAGGAGGCTACAATGACAACCCTAATGTAGTACAATTTCGTACGGCTTATAAAAAGAACATAACTCGTTTTCAACTAAAATTAAATACAGAAGGGAAACTTGTAGATTTACCTATTTTAAATGTATCATCGACTACAAGTGTAATAAATGCCGTTAATGATAGCACTCCTACATTTGAAAAACATGTGATGGAGGTTCACAATGTAGACGAAGATCTTATAGATTTTTTCCTCGATGATGTCATTAATACACCTTTGGATGAATATACAAAAGAAATTATAGTATACATAGCTGGTTTTATTGCACGGAAAGTAATAAAAAAAATCAATTGTTTTATATGCCAACTACTATTATTGGGAGAAAAAGAAAGTTTGTTTTCTTCTTTAATTTTTGTAAAAGACCGAGGTGGACTGACTTACCCCTCACCTGCTTTAATTAAAATAATAAAAATATGCGAAAAGTGTTTTAAAATAAACAAAAGTAATAATTTTAATAGTTTAATTAAATTTGTTTGTGACTATGTTGATTTGTCAATTTTCAATTCGAATAACCCGAATCATGATGTAAGTCATGTTCATTTACTGATTAAAATTGTCGTGAAATTTTACATTGACTTAAGATGTAAACATTCATCAAAAGAGACGAATATGTCTCAAAGAAATTACTTGAAAAAAATTGTATTGTTCCACAATAAATAATTTAAAATGCTAGAAACAGAGAACATTAGAATCAGATCAAATATTGTCATTCTAATGTTTTTTCCGGCCAATTCGTTTATAAACGAGTTTTCGATCGTTAATAATGGTCAATTATTAAAAATCAATAAGATTGTTTGAAAATAAATACATGTTTGTTATTGCACCTATAGACTTTTATTTCAACCTTTTAACTATTTATAGTGACACCCTAAATCCGGCACAGGTTTAGTAATCTTTGCATGTGTGAGTATTTGCCACGCGAAATATTAGCTTGCCTTCCGTCTGTATCGTCTTATATGTCTGTGGTTGTTATGGATTTATAACTCGGATTTATATCGAGTTGAAATTCTATTAATTCGAGTTACGCAAACACAACTCGATTAATACGAACTAATCTTTGAATAAAATTCTTTTTTATTTGTATAATGGAAACCAACATGATGAAACGGAGCATAGAGGAAGTTTTTATAAGTTATGGAAGTCAATAGAATTAATGCTGTAAAGTTATTAAAGTGGCATTTGGCTACGGTATCCATTAGTGTTTGCGCCTAGTGGTGTCTTGCGTTTTATTAGTAACAAGTCGCCTAAAATTGCTATTTGATTAAAGGAGGCGTTCGTATTACACGGTGCTTGTGCAATATTTTTTAATAATTTCTCCCTCACTATGTAAATCGAGCTCCAGAATTATTTTAATTATTATCGAAGTAAATATGTAAATTGTGCTGTATTCAACGTTTTATTGAAGAATCAGTACCAGTCTATTGCTTAAACAAATAGTATTACCGTGAAATAGTTTTTATAAATAAAATACTTATGCTATAGTAGGACAAAGACATATACAATTATTGTACCAACTATCGCTACTGAACTTGCATGTCTACGGCGGACGTCGAGCCAGGTATTACGTTAATTTGAACGGTGGGTATGTGCTTTGTTCTTACAATAATAGTGTCAATAACAGATTGACTTCCTACTCAACGTACTCTAGAAGTAGTCATGCTCTCTTAAAAATCTCTGCGGTAGTGTCGTGTACGTCGGGTTGTTACGTTCCCTCAAATATAATTGAGCGAAACGGTTTGTGTATTTGATTGAGCACATGTCTGAAACAAGCTTCTTCTTCTTTTTTAATTCATGGCCTATTTGCATTTACACAATTCCGCCAATGTCACGTTTGTGGTCTTTACACGTATAGAAACAATAATAAAATATGTAAAATTTTGAATTTCAATAAAAAAAAAAATAGCTCTGAGCGCGTCTATCTGATTACATTGTTAAAGATAATACAAATAGAATGTATATAGAAAACAAATATATTTATAAATTAAGACTATTATTGATTGCAAAGAATTTTGCTAAAATTTTGAATGGGCTGGGATTCTCCATACTCAAGATACATTTTATATTTGTTGGACGTGGAACTTTTGATGGTAGCAAATCATAAAGCGAAATGGATAAATTTGAACAATTAAATAAAATATGATCCGTAGTTCCTTCCTCAATGCCACAATCGCAGAGGGGGTTGTCTTTAATTTTAAATTTGGCAAGTCGAACCGGCGTACACACATGTCCAATTCTCAGGCGACAAATAATTGAAATCGTTTTTTTACTTAAAAGCTTTTCCTTAAAGAACCAGGGAGTACTGGGGATAGTTCTCTGAATTTCAAAATAATACTTTCCCGCTCTATTTCTAGTATTTTCCCAATCAACATTCCATGACCTCATTAAATGTTCATGTGCTAGTACAAAGAGATCGTGATGAAAAAGTTTGGAATATTTTAAAGAGCCAGTTATAACAGCTTGCTTAGCACATGCATCAGCTGTCTCGTTCCCAGGAATACCACAATGTCCCGGTATCCATGCGAGGGTAATGAGCAGCTTCTTAAGATGGCACCTATGCAATGCTTGTCTTATTTTAAATATTATTGGAAATTTATTTTTAGAACGAAACGGATGTGATATTATAGACTGTAAGCAACTCTGAGAATCTGTGAAAATGATAGTTTTGTTAAAGTTATGAGATTCGGCAAATAGGATGGCCTCAAGGAGAGCTAAAGAAACAAGCTTTAGAACAAGCGTTAATAAGTCACTGTCAGCTGACTGTCAAGTCAGTTGTCATTGCCAGTGTCACTGTCAGTGTCATTTTTACATTGATTTTTACTTGTTGCTCTAGAAATCAATAGAATTGAATAGAATTGAAATACCGAAACATAATACAATCAAATATTAAATAATACTGTAGTCTATCTTTAACTTTGGTTAACATTTGTATTGATACAGTAGCGATATTGTATCCGTAAATACGTTCGTGTGGAAGAACTGCACAAAAAGTGAGAGTCGAGGTTACCGCATAGCTCGTGGCAAGATAACGAGTTTGCATTTAGTTGCCCTGAATTAACTTTGTCACTCAGTTGGTTTTAAGAAGCGGCACTAGCAACACGTGAAAATGGCAAGCGGAAAGATAGTCGTATATGGCGGCCGTGGAGCGCTTGGCGCTGCTTGCGTGAATCACTTCAAATCTGCTAACTGGTGGGTCGCCAATGTTGATCTCAATCCGAATGAGAATGCGGATTGCAACATATCTGTACCAAAAGACGCTTCATGGGTTCAACAAGAAGAATTCGTCGTAAACGAGCTTGGTGCCGCATTACAAGGTCAGAAAGTGAACGCTGTTATCTGTGTTGCTGGTGGCTGGGCTGGCGGAAATGCTGCCAAAGACCTGAGCAAACAGGCGGATTTGATGTGGCGACAGTCCGTGTGCAGCTCGACCATTGCGGCAACGCTCGCGGCAAAATACCTGACACCAGGTGGTTTGCTTGCCTTAACTGGAGCGAAAGCTGCTTTGGAGGGTACTCCTGGTATGATCGGATATGGCTTAGCTAAAGCTGCTGTCCATCAACTCACAAAATCGTTAGGCGCTAAAGATTCTGGGCTTCCTGAAAACTCATTGGCTGTAGCAATACTACCAATCACATTGGACACAGAAATGAACAGAAAATGGATGCCTAAAGCAGACTTTGGATCATGGACACCTTTGAACTTTGTGGCACAGTTATTTGACAAATGGATTAAAGGTGAAGAGAGACCTGCCAGTGGAAGCTTAGTTGCCCTCGTCACAAAAGATAATGTTACCGAGTTAGTAATTCAATAGATCTTGCCACAGGAATATATTATGAAGAACCTACTTGTGACAATAAAAAGGAAATATTCCATAATATTTATTGTGTTATTTGGTATTAGAAGCATTTAAGAATCCATTAAAATAATATGCTTTTGATGTGTAAGTATATCAGACAATAAGGGAACAAATCTCATAAAGTGTAATTGTTGTGAATGTTTATTAAGTACATGTGTAAAATTGTGATTTACTACTTGAATGTAATATTATGTGATACTATATAAAAATATATATATATTTAATAAATGTTGTGCATGAGTTGAATTATGTTTTTTATTGAATCATTCTTATATTGATAACAAGGTCAAGGTGAACGGTACATACTAGATAAATTAGTAAGGTTGATAGTATATTTATTGTCACAAAAACTAACTCAACTATCAAGTTCATTTGGTATTTGTGACTGACGGCCAGTTGCACAAACATCCGTTGATGTTTAATGGCGCTTGTAAGCTACAATTAATGCCAAATTTTATGGGTAATGTCACTGAAACTAATGACGATTTTAATGGATATTTGTGCAACTGGCTGGCCAATAATTCATGATGACATCAAATACAAAAAACAATAGTATTTGTTTGTATTTAATAGACTGAGCCACCGATTCTAAAAACTCAACTACAAGAAGCTTTATCCTAACAAATTAATTTGGTTTATCAAATTGACGGAACATAAAAAATACCCGATTCCTTTTGAATCCGTAATTATTGAATTCGTAAAAAATCAAAAATATATTATGACACATAATTCAATAAGTGTATTGTAAAACCCGGTGAGGTACACTACCTGCCTTTATACACACTATCGTAGTTTTTGCTGTTGATTTTCCTTCCTTGACGCGGTGATGATTCGGGTTATGTTTAATAAATTCCTTTTGCAAAATATGCTTAAGGCTGAGCGTAAATAATACTTTCATTATCCATGTCATGAGCTCGGCAATTAAATACCTACCTATTCATGTCACTATAAGCTATATAAACTTATATAGGTATAGAATATATTTATTGCCACACTGTGTACTTACGTAATTTGCAAATGTTATTGCATAATTGGTCATAATAGTTTACCAATCGGATATACAATATTAAAAATTGGTAATCAAAGAAGTTCACACGTCAATTAAAAAATCATGTACAAATAAAGGCAAATAAAAAACTTATGGCATAAAAAATATGTATTTATCATTTTTAGGGTTCCGAAATAAACAAGGAACCCTTAGAGTGCTATCAATTAATAAGGTTTAGCGTCAGAGTAAATTTACGCTAAACTTGCAATTTTAGTACTAGTTCAAATTCATATTATACAGAGAATAAGTAAATCTACTACATTCTAGAAGTAAATATTACTTATTAACTCCTAGAATGTTTTATATATTTATTAGAACCTCGTACTAGGTTAACCTTAGCTAAGTCTGTTTAATAATAAGGATTTTGACTAATATTAAGTACAGTCTCAGCGTAAATTAACTCCAACGCTAAACCTTGTTTATTAATAACACGTTTATAGTTTTACCATGTCCTTATGTCCGTCCGTCCGCGGAAAGCTGTAATTTGGCATATACACATTAATTACGCCCATTAATTGGTTAAGTAAAATTTTGATATAAATTATTCCTTTAAGGTACCTTCCCTATATATAAAGTGGGAATGATATTTTTTTTCGTCTTCCTCGTAGTGTAGGGTAGGGTGCCCATTCAAAAACATAGGGGATGTGGGAGTTTGTGACTTTATTAAGTTTAAAAAAGCTAATTTTCGTTAGAGTCAAGTGTCCTCGGCGCCTCTCGTCGTTGGTGAAAATTCAAACTTTCCGGCAGTAGTACTTACATATAAAGAAGTTTAAAAGAAAACTATCACACTTATGTTGGCTTTACAAGTTTACGAGTAACAGTCGAAGATTTCGAACAACTGCATAGATAATAACAAACTTCATTTTACTTATTTAATTATTCGTACTTGGCTACTTTTGTTTCTATAATAAAAATGAGTATAATTACGAAAAGAAATAGGATAAATTATCGATTATGATATGTGATTTTGTTTTTCTATCAACAAAATTTTATAACTGCATCATAGATCATAAGATTCACATTTATGAAATATGGAGATTTTAAGAATCATGACACTTTAGGGATTATCATTATATTCCTGAAAATGTTGGATATATGTACATACATGTTATTTGAACTTCATTTCTTGGTAATGTAAGCGGGTGTCATTAATAAAGTAAAAAATCGTAATATCAAAAATTAAAAAAAGAGCAATTATAGTGGTTCAAAATATCAACACTTCAAAATGCCAACAGTTTACTAGATCAAAATTGAAAATAACATCTAAATAAAAATAAATTAATGAAAATCAGTTCAGTAAAGGTAGCTAGTAATATATATACTTTTATATTAATAACATTTTACACCATTTAGTTACTAGTATTGTTGATATTTTGAATTTTGATCTAGTAAGTTGTTGGCTTAATAAACTTTGATATAGTGAGTAATCGACTTTAAACTGTTGCCATTTTGAAGTGTTGAGATTTTGAACTACTGATCTTATGGTGTTGATCTTTTAATTTTTGATATTATGATTTTTGACTTTATGAATGACACCCACTTACATAACCAATTAAAATTTAAGTCACTTAGCACACGCTGTCTTATACAATTCCGGCTACGCCAGTTGCTAGTGCAAATGCAAACACGAACTTCGTTTTCGGGGAAATTATTTAATAATATGACTGGTGACGTTGAAGCTTGAGTGTCTGTTCTCAGGGTGTTAAATATTCTACTGTCTGTCTGTGAACCGTTTCTATAGCTCTGAGAAACCACGAGATTCAGTAGGTTATTGCTCTTGTTTGTCGCAAGTAATTGTAGTAACTCGAATTACTTTCACTTTCTGGTTGTTGTTGGGAAAGTAGATTTTATGTTACATTATTATATCATTCATGATCAATACAGTTTGAGCTGCCAGAGTCCTAACGAGATTGACGACTTTTATAAACACTCTTTACTCTCACTGCGAACACAGTTTAAACTACTACTGAACGTACTTCTCTTTCAGTGCTATCACTGTATAGATAATTCACCAAAACAGACGAAAAAAAATGTTACCGAAACATTTTGAAACTTAAATTAAAATGAAAGCATTCTTATCAATAGGTATATTTAATCAGCTTTCAATAATTTTGAGGTATAGAATAGACTATATGGTTGCTATAATGTTGACATATGTTTGCAGCAGAATAAATTAGTATTAAAAATTGAATTTAAAGTAGGTACCAATTCTAAACGCATGAATTGATCAAGTATAATAGACTTTATGGAATGAAGCGAAAAAAGACTTATCTTACTAGTAATAGTGTATGTAGTAAACTAAGAAAGAATTTTACCCCCACAAGAAAGTCAGTCAGGATGAGCTTCAACACATCTAATTGTATTTTGCAAATTCATATTCCTACAATTTCTTCTTGTTCAAGCCACAAATTTTACATGTACCTACTACTGTAGAAATGCAGCGTCGACCACAGTGCTGTGTCGCAGTATTCGTTTCATTACAATTAAATCTTTATTATCGTTTGAAATAAATACTTAAGTAGGTGGTTTCATCTAATCGAACCTTTCATCGCGTTTTGCGCACTTTTGGGAAATATCAATTATGTAGATAGCTTGCCTTACCTTTTTTACTCTCCTAGTACCTATTGTCGAAAAAATTTAAGCCTGGATAAAACAAAAAACATTTTTATTGCATACAAATCATTTATTGTCATGGATGACTTACAAATAAATGAGTTTCAATCTCAAACTTATGACCCTTAAAATATATTTTTTAAGCTAAGTATCTTTAATTACATAATTTCAATGACTACAAATAAATTAACTAATAAATAATTGAGTAGGTAGGAAAATGGAGATAACATTATACCTACTTTTAGTTTACAAAAATATATCTGAAAGATAAACTATGATTAATAAAAATAACGTAGGTAGACAGTTTTCGGTTTTGTTACAATATTAAATGGAAGGCGAAACCTTTTCTTATTCAACAAAATAGTAGTAACATTTTATTACTACTATTTAGTTTCTAAACTTAAACTTTAAATATTGCGAGAAATTAAGCTATTAATTCACAAAACTCTTTTTCTATTTCACTTCACGACCGAATTCATTAATTATTAAATTAAATTAAATGATATTTTAATTCAGTGCTAAACTCTACATTGTTGGTTGCACAAATTATATTAAATTTAAGCTTAGACCTGTAACTGTGAGAATAATTAGATAACAGAAATAAATTTATCATATTATACAACATATAAAGCAAGATAATATTTCCTTGATTACATGTGACTACGGAATAACGTGTCTTTTTTTAATTTAATTTAGAGAAAGGTAAAACAGAATCCGCACCATCTATGAAACAAAGCTGGGGAGCTTTGTAGTGATAGATAATGAGAGATCACTCAAATAAAAGGATTCCAAATTAACGTTACGGATTCGCACGAAAACTCCATCAAATGGATATAACAAAAAGCTGGACTGAAGTATAGGAAGATTCAAATTATAAGATTAGTAAAACGTAAGGAGTAAATTGGCATTAATCCTTACGTGAGTAGCTCGGTGGTGTAGTGGATAAGCACCGCGGCCCGTGATATTAGTCGTTAAGCAACTTTCGCTAGGGTCGGTCACGGGATAGGTGACCAAAAAATTATTATCTCGAATTACTCCGTGCTTCAGAAGGCACGTTAAGCCGTTGGTCTAGGCTGCATTTGCAGTCGTTAATACCCTCCAATCCGCATTGGGCCAGCGTGGAGGATTATGGCCCATCCTCTTTAACCATCCATAAGGAAGGCCCTTCAGTGGGGACGTAAAAGGGCTGGTGAAGTGATGTGAAATTGGCATTTGAAAGATATTGAGATTCAAATTAATATTTAAATTATAATGTAGGCGAGTTGTCAACGGAATATGGTCGCAGGTTCGAAATCCCGACGTGTGATCAACATTTGTACGTGAATCGAGTATATGCTTATTTATGCATTATAATATCTAGTCTAAAACAAATCTACAAGATCAGTTTAAAAATTATTTGGAATTAAATATTGTTATATTTTAAGTACCGAGTTTAATCTTCGAAAGAGATCAGTCAATTTTCTATTGAAATTATTGCAACCATCACATTTCTAACCTTATACATATTTATTTTTGAATTTTAAAGGTTATTTTAACATTATTGTTGATTTGTAACGATATTTAACATACACATTAACATCTTAGGCTAATTTAAGTTAAAACACCTACCCTGAATATTACTCTTTTCCTCTTGATATTAAAATTCAATAAGAAATACAATCCTGGCCAACTTATATAAATCAAATGTCTCTTTTTTTATAATATTATAAGCACAAGTGTTGTCATTAAAAACAAACGTTTTAAACACTTTTAAAACCTGATATGTTGTAAGAACAGTGGCGTAACTACAGGGTGGCCAGTCGGCAAGATGCCATGGGCTGCCATCTAGAAGGGGCCCCCGGTCAGAGGAGACTCCTTACTCCTGGCATTTATTAGTATGCAATTAGTAAAAAAATGAATATCCGATGAATTTGCCATGGACCTCAAACTGTATAGTTACGCCGCTGTGTAAGAAGAATTTTCTATTACCTCAATTTATTTGATTCTCATTTACATACGTCTCAATGATAGGGATAACGACTGAAATAGTTTAGACAAGAAATAGTTTAGATAACAGACATTAAAGTTGAGAAATGGGGGCTCGCTACATCAAAGTTTTGTAGAAAATGTACGAAAGCCTGACGTCATGCGATATTTTAACACAATGTATCGCCGTAATTTAATGATTACGAAAAAACTCGTTTAATATTTTTCAACAATCTACCTGACGGACAGACAAATAAAAATCAGGCGTCATTCCTATTTAATGTAACTTAAATTTATTCTACACTAGCTTTCCGCCAGCGGCTTCGCCCGCGTGGTCTTTTATTATACATAAAAACCTTCCTTTTGAATCACCCTATCTATGAAAAAAATCCGCATCAAAATCCGTTGTGTAGTTTTAAAGATTTAAGCATACATAGGGATATATAGGGACAGAGAAAGCAACTTTGTTTTATAGTATGTAGTAATTAATTTCATTCCTTCATAATAGCGCAATGTCTTAAACAAAAAAACAAAAATAAAATGAATACGTTATGGCGGGTGAGTATAAGTACACAAGTAATAATTTTGATAATGGGTCTTATTAAAGTCTAATTAAAGGAATCCTAATTTTAACATTAAAATTATTTTATCGTCCAACGACGGCTCTGACGGTACTTTTTAATATATCTGTGACTAGTTCAGTTGTCCTGATGATTTTGTGTCCTATTTGGTCGATGAACGTGATGGCAGTGGAATAAGGCTGCGGGATATCGCTAGTTGGTCGGAATGGGAAACGAGTGGAGATAGCATTCGAACCAGCACCCACCCACGTTGCTAGAGTCGGTCTGAAAAATGGTTTGAAACAATAATTATTTTTTTGTCAGTTTCTGATTAATTTAAGCATTATTTTACATGTATACTAGGATAGAAACCTTCTTGCTTACTCCAGAAAAATGTTTTGGAATAAGCAAGAAGGTTTCTATCCTAAAGAGTTTTATGATTATTATTATATTCTTTGTTTCTAAAGTGGTTTAATCCATATGTAGCTCATTTCACGTCTAAAAAACTCTAGTGATGTTAATGCTTACTCTATACATAACTAAATTTAAAAAAGTAGAAAAAGCTGACGAAGAGAAATATCAATGTAAAAAAAATAATTAAGCTTTCTTGACAAAATAATTAAGCTTCACTTTTACTTTTTTGAAGAATTGTATTTATCTTTTCCGACTATTTTTCTAAAAAATTAAATGTTGCACTACATAATGCGTACTTGAGCTATTTTACCAAATAAGTGTATTTGTTCCAATAAGCATACAATACAATTTGCATAGGTATTAGTAATTCTATTATTACTTATAATACCTATGTGTAATTCTAAACATTATTCTACAACTATGCTATTCTGTTAAAAACAAACACGACATAGATCTTCAATGAAATAAAACCTTTATTTCCTTTTCAAATAGGTTTTATTTGATTGAACCTCTATGCTGTTGCATTGCGCTCGTTGTATAGATGTTTTATAACAGAATAGTACTGCTGTGCTTACTAACCGTAGAGAATATCGTGAAGACATCATACCGCCACGCTGCCCTGCAATGCACTCATGCAACAACCGATGCAAGTACCGTAAGAGGAAGATGCTGCCACCCGGTAGGAAAAACCTCTCAATTAGCATGCTACTTCACTACTCTACATTGTAATAGAGAGCAGCTAGACTGAATAATTTCAATAAAAAGCATTAGGATAAGTGTTAATAATATAAGCTCAAAGCTCTAACAAATGCAACTAAAAGTTTGCGTACTCTGAATTCCTTTGCACTGAGAAAAATAAAACAATTAGTAGAATATAAGATCTAGTCATAGAGAAACAGAAACACTTTAAAAGTACTAAAGTAAGTAAGAAGTTTAATGTTAAATTTTAATAAATGTATTATGTTTATACAGTCTAGCTAGTCCCTTTATTATAAAAGCAATCGAAAGAAAGCAAGCGTAAAAGCTATCTGAAATCTTTAGATAAACGGATTGTAGAGTGTTATGAATATTGTAAAAATTATGATTGTCTATGTATAAAACATTGTGCAAAATTTTAACCTAAGATGTTGAATACTCATAACAAATTTAATTTGGTATATGATGTACCTTTAGAATGTATTTTTTTCTTTATAATTTTCTGTAGCATTTTGTGAAAAACAAGTATGTCTATGAAATTATTAGTTAATTCTTGATAAACAGCTTTAGGAAATTTGCTATTAAATCACTCTATATATTGATTAAAGGGCGTTAAAATTCTATACGTAGTTGAAAAGATCTCAGCCTACATACAGCGGGTAGCGACTTTATTTTATACTATGTATAGATAGATAGATGTTAAAAACGTTCATTTATAAGTACAGATGATCATTCCTAATTGATTTTCAATTATACCGAAGATAATTAAAAAATCTTACTGTATTTATTATACTTGTATCAGCGTAAAATAAAAATAACAATTGATGTGATATCTGTTACCTATATGTAATGGTATATTCCGTATAGTGCATACCTTTGCTTGATTGACAATTTATTGTAGAAGAATTTTAAATGAAACCACTTGCATGAGTATTAAATATACAACCGCCAATGATTATAAACGTAATTAATATATCATAAATAAATGTTGCCTGTTGGTAAACGAACCAAGGTTGTTTTATTACCTCCAATCACATTTATTAGCAATTCGAATGTGATCAAAACAAAAAGGTCAAATATACTGTACCTAATTAAATATTAGGTAATAACTCCTATATTTCGGAGTATCATCAGAGGGTTAAGTGGGTTACTAAACTAAAAATCATGACCTTCAATTGATTTTATGAAAAGAAATTACATAAACTGTCATTGTAAATGTAAAAACTGAAAGGGGTGTGGGTTAAAACATGTATTTACTTTTCTGAATAGAAAAAAAAAAATAACTTCATAAAGTTTCATAAAAGAGGAAACGTATTGATGCAGACTATAGGTAGTTAATTTAATTATAGATTAAAAGACAACCTTCGTATGGTTTTTAAATATTAATCTATACTAATATTATAAAGGGAAAAGATTTGATTGTTTGTTTGCATCGAATAAGCTTTGAAATTACGGGACCGATGTTAAAAGTTCTTTCACCTACTGGTAGCTACATTACGGGGTTGACATAGTCTATAACTTATATGTCCGAAGTCGCGGGAAAACAGGCAGTATTTTATAAAATTCATTTCAATTCACATTTGGTAAGTTTGATTTTATATCAATAAAAATGTTCTTAATTACCCATTCGTTTCACAAAAAGTTGAATTACATTTGAATCTAGACTCTCTATATTTAATATTTTCATAACTAAATAAAATATTTAAAGCTAGAACTAAATCCCTTGTGCAGGATCAACAAAAAATGCAACTATGATTTACCTTGATTTAAAATTACAATTCCTACTTCACTACGGAGCTCATTATAATATCCCTTGTACTAGGTAAACGAACATTTATGCAAATTGCAACAACGCATAATATATGACTATAGGCAGGTATATTATATCATTAGTTTAATTGCTATAAAATACAGCAATTATTGTATCCTTTTACATTAAAAATAAATAATTCATTCTCAACGTTTATATATGAATATACTTTTTAAAGATATCAATTATTAAGTATGTTATAGGAACCTAAATAATTATTCTTCTTATTTTGACATAATACAAATAGTTAAATCTTGTTTTTCGAAATCATACTATCGATTATGATTTTTGTAATTTAATTATTAAACGAATTAGAAGACATTATATGAAAATTACGTAATAATTAAACCGATAACCTGGAAAACTTTTAAAAGTAAGATTTTAGCATCAAATTGGTACCTATCTAACCTTAAAAGTATTATATACGTACATAGTCTTGCTATAAATACTGTTACATAGAAAATCAATATTTTTTTATTGAACGTAATATTTATTATTATTAAAGTATGTTAGTTTAATACATTAATATAAAGTCATTTAAAGTATATATAACTTATTCGAAGTCTTATTCGAATACAGTCTTTAAAGAGTTATGCTTATCAATAGACTCAAGCACTCTTTCCATGGGAGAATTCTTAACTGCCAATCGTACCTATAGATTGTTTTAAGGACTACAAATTATCATGGCGTTTAGAGTAAGCCTTACTCTCTGAAACCGATCATAAATCATATTCCATCGGATTAAGATCTGGATTAGATGAAGGCCAGTCTTGAGGTCTAATAAAGGTTGAACGTACGTTTCTAGCCAAGATTAGTAAAACCGAGCTTTATTACCTAGCGCCGAGTCTCGCTGAAAGGACCATTCTTGGTAATTGAACATGGTGTTGTTAAGGGCCTTAACTAACTTCTCGAGAATGGTATCTTGATACTTGTGTGCCGATGTTTTGATGGATTTTTTACGATAATATGGCTCGGTCACTCCTTCATAGTTAACACCCCACCAAATCGTCACTGAAGTCGGATAATGCCCACATTATCCAAATACGGTAATTTTGTTGGTTAAAATATTTGTTTATCCGTAAAAAAATTTTTTAGTTGTTTTGATTTATTACCCTATACTATTTTAAATTATCTGTTAAAAGTGACCAGTGCGTCTCTTATAAGCTGCAAGTCCTAAGTCATCTTCATCTTTCGAGATATTTTTTTTTGTTTTCGGAGAGGATTTCTTCGAATTCTTTCCTTTGCTGCTTTGATCGACTTTTGAACACTACGTGGACAACTATATCTTTTTCTGTCACAAAGGAGGTTTCATTATACCCATCAATAACCCGGTCCACAATATATTGACTAATACCAAGCGTATGAAGGGTTTTGAAAATTGTGATTAGATCCATACATACTTTATATAATACAATCACAGCGAATGAACAATCACATATAAATGACAGATTCGTAATTCAAGAGTAATATATATTTTTTTTTTAATTCTAATAGTATTTATGGCCAGACTAAGTATAAATAAGTTTACCTCGAAAGTAATTGAAATTTAAAATACAGTTAACTAATAGAATTTGATTTATTTGATATACTTTAGTACGATTATTATATAACTATAATTTTTTTATTTTCGAATTTAACGTTATAAAATTTAACCTTCATTTTCATAATATTCATAACAATTTATATATATTGTAAATTTTATGTAGAAGATTATTTGTTAGGTTTATATAAAATAGTTTAATATAATTATGTACAGTAGTGAATTGATGGGATAATTATTAGCTTTGCTACTCTATAACAAATTCAGAATTCAGAGTAGACGTCGATGTCGAGCTCTGTGCCGTCACAGCATAGAGCTTCAACGAAATAAAACCTTTATTAACTTATGAAGTAGGTTTCATTTGATTGAATATGTATGCTGTAATAGCGCTAATTTTTTTACAGAATAGCACTGTTGTATATGTTATATGTTTGATTGTGTTATCTGTTATATTTGATTATGTTAATGATGTCATGCAAGTTAAGTTCGTATAAGTAAAGTAATGATAGCTTTATGACCGTTCAACCTCCAAAGTTTTAGATTCATTAATAATTTATATGCTATCATTAATAATGAAAGTTATCTCACAAAGTTTCTATAAATCTCCGATCTTAAAAAGAGATCCTTCGATCTTTTTACCTTTTTACTAAAAATTGCCAATATATTTCGGAGATTACTCAGTTTATTATTGAAAAAAAAAAATTCAAAACGGGGATTACCAACTTTTATTTATAAAGTTGTCATAATACACAAATTATCACGAATAAACCGTTACGCAAACAAAACCTTTTTGTATTAATATAACAAAATAATGTGTTGAAGTTTTTGGTATCAGATTAGGTCTTGGAGTTTTTATAGCTTTTTTTATAGTGTACATCTGCTACAAAGAATAAAATTAAGAACAATAAAATTGAATGGGAAGCGCGAATCTGACGCATTTAAACATATTTATGGAAAACAAATTGCTGGCATATTTATCTTATACGTTGATTATGGCAAAACATGTTTCTATAAATTTAATTTAAATAATAGCATTATGTGACATTTTAACTTTAATAGAGTTGATAGTTCCCGTCCTGATTTGTATACTAATGGCTCTATTTATTATATTTTATATGAATTGAAAAACAACAGCTAAGAATGTGTATATAACTATTTTTTTAAATAATGTATTTTGTTCATTCTTATACATTATAAAATCTGTGGTAATTGATATTTAAATACTAATCGAAAAGGGACATACGGCAGCACGTCGTGTTACCATATTATATTTTGAACGCGGTTAATTTTAAACACTACGCTCAAAGTAGGTATAATGTTTTAAAATTGAGTGGACAATTTTGTCAAATTTGTACAACTTTAGGTACTGTTGACTGTACAATAATCTCTTTTAATTTCGATATACAATTAGATAATAGTAAAAAATGAGTGAAAGACGTGGAATTAAGGAGCAGTGACATTCAAATAAAATAAATATCGACTGAAGTTTGTTTCCTATTACCTTAGCTGTTGTTATAAAAATAAAAAAACAACTTTCATACCACTTTTTCAAACAATAATTGACAACCTTTAGTGTAAGTGAAATTTTAGTTTAAGTGTAAACATTAAAGTTATTTTTACCTGGCGGTCGGCCTTTGGGTGTTCGGTGATGGGGATGGTCTGCTAGTGGTTGGGCGTGGAGTTACAGCTGAAGCTGACGGGCTACCCGTCATCAGCTCACCGTCATCTCCGAACCTGGAATCAAAGATATCAAACAGATCAAAATAAATATCGTACCTAGATATTAATGTCTTTGCAAGGGTTCTGTATTAATAAATACTTTTAGATTGTTAAGTAACGAAGAGTAAATAACTAAAAATTTTAACTGTTTTTTTTTTGTGTTATTAACAAAATTTACAAATAGATGATACAAAAGAGGGTGAGAGGTGTAATGTGGAGTAAGGGCGTGAGTGAAAGTGGTGATAAAGAGAACAGGGCATGGGTAAGCAGCGAAGTCCCATTGTTGACGTTAGAGCAATGACAGGAATCTGGACGACGGCTCAAATGGACGGCAGTGTTCTAAATATAGTCCTGATCGGCGTCGTCGGGACTGATGCTGAGCAGCAGCTCGGGCTTCCCTTTGTCACAGTCTCAAAGAGAGGCTTCAGGATAAAGTGGTGAAGATGAGAAAGTGGTAGACGTAGAGTAATTTAGTGTTTACTTTAGAATTATAGGCAAGAAAAGGTTGTCAAATGAATTTTGATGAGTTTCAAATACGCTTTTTTTATTAAGTAAGCTCAGGGCGATCTCAAAAAGCTAGCTCCAGTAACCATTGCCGTAAAAGGCTTTTTATACCCGAAGATGAGTTCAAATTTGGAACCAGCATATTTCACTAAAGAATCCTAAAAATTTAAAGTTAGAAGTGAAATAACAAATCGTCTAAGTTTGAGTCAATTTTATTAACAGAATAACGTAACTATTACAATGATGAGAAAACTTTCAAGTCACAACTGTCAGAAATATAAAAATTAACAATAATTTGAGATGAATTATAAAACAAGTGTCTTGAATATAAAGAGGTCCTGACACCATATTGCGAAAAACAAAGAAAGCAACGAAAGTTTAGATGGAAATTAAGTTCGTTCGAATCTCAAATTACAGAGATTATTATCGTTTACAGCCATTCAATTGAGAAAATGAAGAAACAAGATAAAAAAGAAAAAGAAGCAACACGACCAAATTGAAAAAGTCAAAAACATGATAATATACGCATTATGAAAGTTAAAACCAATTTCCGCCCAGTAATAAATCTATATTTTGCTGCAATAAAAAAATATGATTTTACTCTATTTGTTTTTAAGACACTTCAAATGATTACTAGTTAATAATAGGATAAATTGACAGTCCATCATTAAACAGGTCATTGAGATGCAAGGGAATTATCTGTACATGAAGATAAATTATCATTTGTTATACTATTTCTCTCACGATTAATTTATGGGTTGCTAAGTGCTCGTTAAAACAGATAATATCTATTTCTACTTAGGTATACTAATTAATTAACATTCAAAGAAAAAAGTTATTGTACAGATTTTTTTTTCAGAAATCTCTCATGACAGCTAGTGGCGGCTGGTATTATGGATAGCAGGGGGCCAATTCTACTAAATAAATTTTGTTTAAATCGAATCGAAAGCGGATCGAAAACGGATTGAAACCGAACGAAAGTACAGTTTTTAATGGTTTTCCTATTCTACACAGCGACATACGATACAATTCCAGTTCTATTGTAGCTGGAATTGTATCGTATGTCACTTAATAGAATAGAAAAACCATTAAAAACTCTAGTTTCGTTCGGTTTCGATCCGTTTTCGATTCGATTTGAACAAAATTTATTAAGTAGAATTGGCCCCCAGGCCCTTGTCTGTTGCGGAAAGTATGTAAATTTAAACTAATAATTTGTTCTGATAATAAGGTTAATTACATTTTACGTCTTTGATATGGATAATATTATTTTTGAACATTTCTTAGATTATTTTATATAATTTAAGGTTTATTTTTTAGATGAAATAATCTTTAAAAGTGTCAACTTTGATAATAAAGTGCGGTTACTTTTCCCTACCCCCTGAGAAGCTCTTCGTTTCAACAAATCGATATAATTGGAGCTAATGCTCCAGTTGTATTCAACATTACTTAGGTATTTTGGTTCAAAACTATACCAGTCAAGTTACATGATTGGGTAGTTGGAAGCCTAAATCAGTGAGAAGCGTGACGAGATTATATAAAGACAAAAGAGTAGACTTGCAACGAATAGTATATTCGGCCATATGCCGAAAACCGAATATTCGATGAGCTTCCTGGCTTATAATAGCCGAATATTACACATAAGTATTTGGTCGGTATGTGGCGCCACATCTTTGACAATTTGTCAAAGATTCAACAAATAAACAATAAAATAATTACCTACCTACTTTTATAATAATAATAAATAAAAATAATAATCGATTATGGCCTCTAAAAAGAAATCGCCTATATGGGCATACTTAAGGTCTACTTTACTAATGCAAGTGACCCGAAAAGTGTCGTGATCGATAAGACAATCGATCCCGACACTTTTCGGGTTTAGACAAAGATGAATTGTGAAGAAAACAGCGACGATAGCGCGAATTCGTCCTCTACTATTGCTAAGAACATGAAAACTGAAGAGCGAAGTCTAAGCCAGACCATTGACTCAACTTTTATGGATTGCTTCGAAGAAATGATAGCAGAAAAAACATGCCCAGCCAACACAGATTAGCTGAATAAATTTTGCGTAAAAGCAATTCTTTTGACTTTAAGCTGGATAAAGTATTTGTATAACTTCTGTGTAAGCGCTTATACAGATCATATTCAAGCAATTTGGGCACAAAATATCTTGCTTCAATTTGGATAACATTTGATTAATAGCTACATAGCAGCTGAATAAATGTACAACACACTGAATATCTTCTGCATAAATTCTGTTTTTTCTTTAGTCCAGAAATTATACATCTCTTATGCAGTTGATAATTTGTGAGTTCAGATATTCAAATGATATTCACAGTTCCGATCTCTGGGGTAGTTTTACAAAGAAATTATGCAAGTAAAAAAGTATAAATGTATTTTTCATTGTGACGAGATTATTTTGTGTTACTTACTTCAAAATATTGTAATGGTGGCTAATTCACGATTTCAAAAATTTGGTAAGCAAATTGTTTCATACATTTTAAGTAAATTTAGGGTGAATTATATAAACGCATGGCACTTTACTGTGAATTATCAATATGATTATTATACATTTTTTGAGCGCCTTCAGATAAAGCTACAATTTAAAAGGTAAACAAATATGAAATAATATTTAAATTAAATTATCTTTATTTTTTATCAAATTTCAGTCCCAGAAAATAATGAGAATCAAATTTTGTATAACTGCTAATGTTTCCTGCTCACTAAACAAAGTGTTTCATAAGATAAATGTTGAGGATTTTTATAAGAAGAGGTTATGTCTAACGTTAATTAATGGCGGATGGCCTATTTGAATAAAAGTGTCTATTTCAGTGATTATTTTGCTTATTTCTGCATAATAGTTCACATACGACTACATATCCAGAAATTATTTGGTATAAAGTACAATAATTATACATTTCTCAGAGAAAGGTCTTAAATGATATAATGTAGTATACTCTTATTCAGCTTTTTAGGGTTCTTTTTTATATAAAATAAATCCATGAATATTTGAGGTTGATGGGACCTATACTAATGTAGGTACTTTTTATACACTCGGACTAGTTTTGCTCATGTAGTCAATAAGTAAGATACAAACGTAAACATCAAGATTTATTATATAATGTTAGTATTTATAATAGTGTTGTTGTAGTGTTGTATTTTTGAAGTGTTATAGAAAAATTATTGGTATATTTTTTTCAGAAACATGTTCAAAATCAAGTTGAATTATCAACAGTTTCTTGGAAAAACAAAGGGATATTATACTGGCCGAAAAAAGGCGAGCTACTTTGCAAGAACCCGAGAAAAGCTGAGGAAGAATTATCTCAAATGTTGAACAGAACTGATACGGATGATACGGAATTAGAACAACATAATTTTTTATTTATCAATAATAATATATACAATTTTTTATGAAATTCCGAGTTTTCTTCCAAATCAGTATAACTTGAATCACTATCAAATTGTAGTCTGTGATTGATATGCAAACTTGTCATGCATATAACTCTCGTTATTTGCACCTAAAGTTGGACCCGGTCTATTTGTTTGAATTACTAATCTGGATGGTGATGCACAATCATCGTGTACAGAACCCTCTTCAACTGTATTGGTCGCACTTGACCCGGGTCTATTTGTATCAGTTGTCAAACCCTTTTCTATTACTGCACAGATACTATTTTTTATCTTTTCATACTCTCGTGAACACTTTCTTCTTATTCCTCCTGATCTCTTTCTTTTTTTCCATGAATCACTTACGCTTTTTTTATTATTTTTCCGAGGAGGCATATTGTTGATGCAGTATTTATCAGTTTTGTCACAGAATTATGTAATATCTGGATATAAACGTACGATATCTTCAACTAATCAGTTATTTGCTGCTTAAGATACCCACATTTGTAACTGATATTGTTTTAAGCTTAACACAAAGACAATTGTACGCTTATAGTGCTATAAGTTAGGTAAAACAAGAAGTTTATTTTCAATTATGCAGAAGTCAGCTGTGTAAAGAAGAAAAATTCTAAAATATTCAGCATCTGAAAAAATTAGTACCATTTCGTACACTATGCAGCTTAAAGAAAATATTTCGTCTAATATTCAGCGTTTTGCTGTTTAACTGCTTTGCTTAAATATGTTATACAGGACAATGCAAAAACTTCAGCTACTGTGCAGATAATAGCTGTTTCAATTACTTTTATTTGAATATCGCTTGTTTAACAGATTCTACTTTTCCTTACTATTCAGATTGAAAAAATACCGCAAACTTTATACAGAATTTAGTAAGCTTACAACATTATTTTAATTTTAGAATTCTCTTATTCAAAATAAGGCCATAACGTCAGCTGTAATACAAAAGTATTAAAGCTTGACACTGCTTATTGTGGTATATTTTCGCTACTATCTGGCTTATGTGTTGGCTGGGTGGCTTATGTATTAAGTAGTCAACAACGAATAAAAATTTATAATTATGAGAAGAGATAAACAAAATGATCCACGAGAATGTTCGATTAGTTATCTATCACTATACGTTATATTGTTTCAACAACAATATTGCATCGCTTATGGTAAAGCTCCAGCATAGTAGCTAAATGACTATCTCGATTACTATCTAGAAATTATAGCAGTTCTGTGACAATCAAGAAATAATATCTAGGCATTATTATTGATGACACGTAATTTGTCGACTATATAATTGACGGAGTGTTTAATCAATATTTAGGTATCGTGTCTTCATTTTCTATTTCCTTAAAACAAATGTTTTACTGGGAATTTAGTAGATAGAAATAAAAAGATGAGTTTTTTCTTAATTATGTCAAAAAAACTATGTAAAGATAAGTTCCTTACATAAAGAAAACTATAAATTATCTCTGTTTATGATGAATGCAGAGATAAGTATGTCTTATAAAATTTATAAAAATCATTTATAATGCATAATTTATATACTATATATACCTACAATCGGCGAAATATCATCGGGTTTTATTTTGACGTCACAAATTGTATGATATCTTTGTGTAATATTATTAAATTCAATATATCGAAGTGCCGAAACAAGTTTATTAAAGACGACATTTACGAAAACCAGTCAGATAGACAAGAGTTGAATAAAAAATGTAGTTTAATTTATTGTAACGAGTTCTCGGGTTGTTTGGATGATATTGATGTTCAGAATGCGTTGGTGCCATTTTGAATTTCGCCTTTATTGTTTTCAGTGTGGATAAGGAATTAAAAATATTTTATTTGTTATTAAATACTTGTGAGCCACCGACTGTGCATATATAACAATTAGCTATTTTCAATTGTACCTACATGTGAAAAATCTCGCAATTATTTGGAAAACTTTCTCCTTTTTTTCCATTAATAATTATCGAGTACTGGTGAAATCGTATAAAAATGCAATTCTGTTGCATAAACTCGACTGAATTAAAACAACTAGAAGTGCATTGAAATTATTATAAACTTTTAACCTAGGTATATCAAAAAGTTATAAAGATTTAATTTGATTGAACTTTTAATGCTGTGTCAGAGCTGTGTTCGACACTTTTATAGAATACTAAATCAGAACATTTTAACTGTGAAATTTTTGTACTGGTATTTTTGCTGCACCGTCTTCTTTCGTAAAGGGAATAAAGATGTTTAATACAAAAAAAAGGGTCCAAAAAATTAACAATAATTCTTAAAAGCTAAGTAGGTTAAAGGTTTTATTAAGGAAAACTAACTTTATTTTAGAATTTTTAGCGTCGACGACATAGACAAGATAATTTTAAGACGACGTAGATAGTTCTTCCAGTTATTTTTCTATAAAAAAAAAAATTGATCTGGTCACATAAAAGTTAAATATAACCCTTCGAAAGTATAACCTTTCAAAATAAAAAAGTATCGTCCAAATCGGTTCACCGTTGATATTGAAAAAAAATTTTTTTTTAATTTTATTTTATTTAATTAGTATACTCGAATTGACAACCTCCTTTCTTAAAATTGGTAATATTTGAAATCGATTTTTCTAATAGTACCACAGTAATGTATAATACTATACCACATGGCAGCTAACCAGGTGGATAAGACGGAAATAATTACTAGGTTCTTGATACTTATATTCACATAATTAAAATTGCATTTTCTTTTTTTTTACCATGAATGTTGTTTAACGCTCGTTTTCCTTGAACCAGTATACTTTTAATTATGTTAACGGTCGCTAAGTATCTTGGTAACAATAGATATTTTTTTCAAAATAGCACTTTATATGTATCATAGTTAGATATGTCTGGGTAGAAGAAATCCTGAATAGATCGTAAGAACAAAATGGCGCCTATTCAAAAGAGAGCAAATTATTTGGCAACCTACAACGCCAACCTTTTTTATTTTACATTGCTTCCCATTGTCTGTCCGCTGGAATCTGTTAAACAATATAACATTTCTTTTCTTCTATATTCATAATACAAAATAGAAATAAACACCTTTGTTATTCACAAATTTAAAAACAATGTTACCCCTCTATAGCCCGGACTCAAAAAGGGTCAATGTAGAAAATGCACTTTTCTCTATTGTCTCGGGTCTGGGTGTTGCGGTACCTTCGTTGTCTTAAATACTCCATAATACGGGAGCTTTAGCTACTCATCTTGGAATCTGAGCAATGTTAATATTTATTTATTTAATAATTTAAAGATAAATCGATAATTTTATTTGATATAACCTCTGATGCTGTACGAGTATGTTACAGTATCAAAAGGTCGATTTTCCGCTGGAATTGATTTGGTGAAATTACATTGAGTACCTAGCATTCTTATTTATTCTTTTTAACGTAGATATGTCGCAGACAACTGATTAAAACAGGTTTTCTATTAGGCGGCTAGCCATTTAATTGGTTGGTGCCATTCAATTACAAGCCTAGTTTTCTAGATGAATCATTATTACTGTTCAACAAGATAGCTGCTTTAAAAGTCGTCAAAAAGTTCACGTAGTTTTGTTGTCTGTTAAAACAATTACCTCGAAATTTAAACCTATTACGTAACTGACAGAACCAATATAACTTCGTTGTTTATCATTTTATGTTGTTATTAATTATTGTAGCACCGCGCGGTCGCTCCGGTCAAAGGGTCGTTGCCCCTTCAGGGCACGCAACCAACTGTCCAAGGCGGTGTTTAGTCAGTAGGAGTCTGACATAACCTTACAGCCGGCTGTGTGGTACATCCAATGAAAGATTCACCACCTCCGAACCCCTAAAGTTGGGAGCCGGAAAAAAGTTAAGCTTAACCCGCGATAGAGTGTACGTTAGTTTCCTGTATTGCATCATACGAACCATTAACACTCAGTGGCGTATAAGCAATTTGTTACTATCTTTTTAATCAGTCCTGCATCTGTATCAATTGCAGATTGTAACAATGATTTTTTGAGTTTAATATAAAAATCAACACATTGCAATATGTTTCATTTCTAATCCTACCAATAAATATCGGTGTTTCCGGTGAGATGACAGTTAGTTGGCTGACCTTTAGCCACCCAAGTGGTCGGCTGATTATACCACTTGGCTGTGACAGATATATAAATTAGATATATAATGTTATTTTGAAGTTTTCGAACAAAAAATGTAATCTGTAATGTACCGAAATAAAAATAAAAAAAACATTGAAACAATATATCTCACTTTACTTGGTGCAATTACCCCTCTGACCGCTAAAGCAATGGGTGGAAACCGTGTTTTATAAGACGTTTATTAGCACAAACCACTAGGCCACACGCGACCGACGAATAAATGCATAATCGTGTGATGTAACAGTAACGAATCTGTAAATGTAACTATCGGTTTTCACGTGGAACCGTAAAATATCGTGTTCACTAGCAAAGGGATTGAGAGTGTGCAGCCAAAGTTTTTAAAAATGTAATCCCGATTAACAATTACATTGAAACGAGAGTAACAACACTTCAACAAGTACAGAGGAGACTTAATTTCTTATTGCCGATTGTAAAACGTTCAAACGACATGAATAACTAACTCGCCAGAGAGTAAGTTTTGTTTTGTCGCTGTACTTATCTCAGTGTGAATCGGGCTTTAGCGACATTCTCCTTGACTACTACATGGCTGCCCATGTTTTCCCAGTCTACACTCCCTCATTTTTGACGACCCACGTAGACGATTGGTTTATTATCACTTGCAACTCTAGCTATAGATAATAATGTTTTATTAATTAAATTAATTAATACGTTAATTAAAGTTAATAGTCTTTAATAATGTTTTTATTGCGCTCCCAAAATTTGACTGAAAAAGCAATCAACGAAATATGTTTTGGTATACTGAATAAACCAATTTAAAAGCAAATTATTTTCCTTCTCCGAAACATGACCAATTATTATCATAACCAGTTACAAGAATAAATAATTTATGTCTTCTAGACGCGTCTCGTTTCCTTGTTTGGCATCGAAAAGTGTCGCCATTTCAAGAAATAAATCATTTTAAAGCTCCCCGAAAATTGGGAGATATTATAGGTTTATAATGTTGAGCCCGGAGTAGTAGTGGTTAGCGCGTTCGCCTGCGATGCGGAAGCCACTTTCGCAAGGGCCAGTCGTAGGATAGGTGACCAAACATTTATTATCTCAAGCTCTTTCGTGCTTCGGAAGCAAGATATCGGTCCTGGCTGTATCGAAATTACATTTAAACTCAAGCGGAAAATTTTATTTCTATCTATTTTTACTACTAAGATATGGGTTGAGATAAAAACAAGTCTAATAATAAGAAACTAATAAAATATTAAAACGTTAACGTTGTTTATTATTGCTCAAATATGCCAAGGCTTATGGGAATAAGTTGCTTCTAGAACGATAATAAAACAATATGCATAAATCATAAGCTTCTATATTATGTATTTGTTTACACATTTTTTTACTATACATCTGACACTTTCAAATTAAAAGTTGTCACTACAAATAGGCTAAGAAGTTATTTGTTCTTGTAAAAAATTGTTAAATATTTTTCTTTTAAATATAACGGTAATGCATGTCTGGTGCTCGTTAATTTTCTCGAGTATCACGATCAGTTGTTAGATTAAAAATAATTAATAATTTTGTATTTATCAATAATTAATAAACTTATATGGAGTGTTTTTACGGGGACTACCCTTAATAATGCTCTAACCGTGAACTCTCCGCTTTCTATCTCGAAAACGATTTAATCATATATTTTTTTTAAACGTTGTAAGAAGTTGAAATGTTTGGAAGGAATTAACTCCTCTACAAAATGAATACCACACAAATAGCTAAAAATCCAAATGAAAAAACAAAAATCTCACAGTAATATAATAATGAGTAAATAAATAAGGTCAAAGGTCACGTTTTTTAAGAAATGTTATTTTCAGTTCCGCTTAGGTACGCTCAGAAATTATTAAATACAACATACCTATTTAGAATGACAGGTCTGGCAGGCGTTGTGATGTCAGGAATTTGTTGTGATGGTGGGCGAGTCGCCGGCCGCGTTGGTGGCCGCGACGTTGCTCGTGTTGGCGGCGGTGTGGTCGGTAAGTTAGGCAACCTGGGTGGCACTTGTGGTAGAGGCGCAAACGTTGACGCCGGTGGCACCGATGATAGTCCAGACTCGTTGTCAGCTGTAAAAAATATTTTGTCGATCATACCATGTTTGTAAGCACGGTGCAGCTTCTAAACCGCTCCGGGCAAAACTAATGGGTATTCACAGCCCTTTACACTGATACAAAATCACGTAACACACACATTAATAGGAAACTAGCAATCTAGTCTAAAATGAAATGATTATGATTGAATAGTTGGCCACTGTGATCACCACCGAAGAGCAAAACTTTGAAATTGAGGAACTCTTCCTCTTATAAAAAAAAATTCTTTTGTTTAAATAAATTACGATATTTTTTTTAAAGATAACGGCGTATCCATATTTATGCTAACGACACATAAAAATCACGATCAATTGATATATATAATATCGTCGTTCTTTGAATTGCATACCAAAACCTTTCTTTTTTAACCGCATAAATATCTTTCAGTTTTTTGCGTTTTTATCAGTTCGAAACAACGAAAGCAATCATCAGAGCCGTAAAAAAATAGGAAAAATAATAACATTTCTACATTGGATCGGCCAGTGATCGAACCCGAGACCCAAAGGTAACGATAATAAGACCTAAAGCGATATTGAAACCCAACGCCGGATTAGCCACGGAGTAAAAGTAGAAAATTCCGCGCGTTTGGGGGCCCCGTGCAGTTGGAACCTCAGGTTCAGGTTCAAAGCCAATATTTTTTCAAATCAGTGTTAAAATATGCAAGATATAAAATAAACCACTCTTCCGAATAAACTTATATTTTTAAGTATAATCATAAACCGCTATAAAAAATAAAACTCGAGTCACCGACTAATTGTGTCATTTGGAAAGCAAAGGATGACTTTTCAGTTTCGGGTGGGAGGAGGAGCGTTTAAAAAATAATTTGGCACTGTTGAAACTTTTGTATGGCATTCGACCACGACTTAAGCTTTGTGCCATTTCTAATTTTATATTACGTGGAGGTCAATTTTGCTATAAAAACGAATAACATTTCAAGTTGACATTGAAAGTTTTCCAAAAGGAGGAAAGAATAGATCTTTTCTGATATTTCACCTTGACCAATGCATAATTATGAAGATGTCATGAACGCTTTGTGTTAATTTTTATGTATCTGTGATTAAGTGTGTGTGATGAAAATGTACTTAATGGCAATGGAATAAAAGTGGAACTGCAACTTGAACTGAAAGAATATACGAGGAAGATATATATAAATTTAAATAATAACTATTACATATTTCGCAGACACGACAAAAAATATTAAAGAGTTCAAGTTTGCGAACCCTAGCTTACGTATTTTTTTAAACGACTTCAAAATCGAAAAGGAGGATTCAAAATGTTCAACGGGTAATAATTTTTTTATGTATATTCACTAAATAGGGATGATGACTCATTTTTTATGTTTGTCCGTCAGGTAGAGTGTTAAAAAATATTAAACACGTATTTTTTTATTTTTTTCGTAATCATAAAATTACGGCCTTACATTGAGTTGAAATTTCGCATGACGTCGCGTTAGAGTACGTTTTCTACTCAAGTGTGACGTAGCGAGCCCCCACTCCTCAACTTTAATGCCTGTTATCTAAGCTATATCTTGTTAAATTGAAGTAAATAAAAATACGTGTCTAATATTTTTCTATTATCTGACTGACGGACTAAATAAAATTGCATTTTTTTTACCCAGTCATCATCCCTATTCTTGACGTAAGTGATTACTAAGACTGAATCTTGCGAAATTCAACACCCTGACTATGCGGACGAAGGTAGCAGCTAGCATATATTTTGCTGATCCATTAGACATCATAAAGGTATTTGAAAAAGTAAAGTATGGAACCATGATAAAGATCTATAGCCAATAATCTTCGTTACATAAAGTATACATCAATAAATAACACAGTTGCCTAGCACATTAATATTTTCGCCGAGACTGCTAGAAGTTGTGAATAAAACCTGTTTAGAATGTCATCAGGAGAGCTGAGCAACCGCCTAATATTCTGGCTATAAGAAGGTTTTATTGATGTTATCAATGAATATGTTTAAATTTTTGATAATGTTCTTGTTTTATTATTTACATATTTAAAAAAAAAACAGATATTTCTTTGCCAGTTGAAAATATTATGAGTATACGCCTTCTATTGTTAAAAGTACATATTAATTTATTAGTTGATATAAGAAGTGCGGTCTATATATAACTTACCAGAGTCAGGGATGGTGTTGAAACTCTCATTGGCGAGGTACACTTCGAAGTACCTGGTGAAGTCTCCGGTAGGATCCCACCGTGAGGACAGCTTAGCCCATTCCTCAGGGAAATCGTCCTTCAGTCGCTTGATCACCTTCACAGCGGTCCTCTTCTGTTGCTCGGTGCATCGTATGCATTTCGTTCTTAAAGCTTCTGGTAATATTCCTGCAAAAAAATTATAAAATTATTACCGTTTGTCCCGGCTGCATTTGCAGTTTTTTTGTTGACAATGAGGTTTTCTATATTTAATCAGTGCTTTTTCAAAATTTCGAAGTCGCTATGGATCTTACTACTATATAAGAGATATCATTATATTTTTTTATTTTACTTGTTTAGTAACACAATCTAGGAGCTCAATAAAGTGTCTTCGCGTATTTTAGGAAAATATTTCTCTCCTTTAATGGGTTAAATAAAAAGTTAAGCAAAATTTCCAAAAAGCGAAACCGCTATGGAATATGGTAATAGTTATTTTGTATACAATAAGTCCAAATAATTAATATTTTTGTTACCGAGATCAAGAACGCCAAAATTTATCATTTTACGCAAAAATCGCCGTTGAAATGTAATATAGCTCTTAATATTATATGCATCCGAAACAAAAAATATACCCATATAAATTGGTATATTATATTAATCTAAGTTTGGTTTTACAATTTGGAACAAAAACGACACACCGACAGAATCACAGAACACAGAAATGTGTTCGTGTGTGTGAAAAGAAAAAAAAAACTAATTGGTATCCACCAAGTATACATGTAATAGTTCGTTGAAGAATATCAAATATTTTTGTGATCATTGAATGAATGGATGAAATAGGTTTAATCAAATTTTTTTATAGCTAACATCTACGATTTCATTGTTTTGATTGTATTGTATTGTGAATGTAAACAAAACGGCCATAAACGCCATCCATTCATTCATTTCAACGTCATTAATTCATATACAGTGCTACTTATAAACAAGGTTTAGCGTTGGAGTAAATTTACGCTGAGACTGCTCTTCATATTAGTCAAAATCCATATTATTAAACAGAGACTCAACAAAGTTTAACCTAGTACGAGATTCTACGGGAGTAATATTTGCTCCTAGAAGGTAGTAGATTTGCTTATTCTCTGTGTAATATGAATATGGACTAATACTAAAATTGAAATTTTAGTGTAAATTTACTCAGACGTTAAACCTTGTTTAAAAGTAGCACAGTTAATGTTTTGTTTATTATATCACTCGCCTACGGCATTCGCTAAATGACGAGTGTTTCATCCCACTCGTTGCAGTCGAGCAAATTAGAATAGCGAATTTGTTATGTCGAATAAAAATCAGTAGAAAACGAGCGCTTGACGCGAAACGAATGATTCAAAATAGAGCTCCAAATCAGGAACAGTGTCATATTTATAGATTCAAATACAATGTGTGTTGCATTCAAGCTGCGTCAATTACATATAAAAAACGTGACAAGCGTTCCAAAAGTTATTTCCTTGTTTAGGAATTACGTTATACTTATTAAAGTTAATCTTTACACGTAATTTATGAAATAGATAGGTGATTTTAGGGCATTTTTAAAAGAATTAATAAATTTGTGGCAACTAAACCACCGTATCTATTGCTTTTTTAAAGGCAAAAGGAGTTTTATCAAATATGCAAAGATAGACTATTGCTCAGTACGATAGCATGGAAAATATATTTCCGAATTTTATCGGGAATGTGAAACAGGCTACCTCTTTTATGTAGACGTTATCTTAATGGCTGGTTCACATACATTCTGAGCTCAACACACAGAACGGTGCTAAAAATAGGTAATCAGTTATTTATCATTATTTGTTACCCTGCACTTTAAATTGATGGGTACAAAACATCAAGTATTGAATGAAACATTTTAATAGATAAATCTTTAGAATCCATTAATCACTTTATTATTTGATTGTGAAACAACTTAGATTGATTGTGCAAATGGTATACAAAGTCACGGATAATGGTGCTTGTAATATTTTATTAGTATGCGTATTAATTTATCTATACTAATAATATAAAAGTTTGTTTCTGACTTTGTTTGTTTGTAGGGGGTAATCTCGAGAAGCCATTATGGGTATACAGGCGAAATTGTAGGTTCTATTAACGAAGGCGAAGCAAAACGGCTACGTAGTTCTTTCCCATTAGACTGGCAAAAAAGTAAATACCAATGAGTTTTTTCTGTATTAGATTTGAAATTTGTTTTAAACTTAGAGATTTATTACTGTAGGGTTTTAGTTAAATACAAATTTTATCTATATGATAAAATAATAGTAATAATAAGTGATTGTTTCCCCATTAGAATATTGTGACATCGGGTTTCCCATGACCGGCATAGACAAAGGAGCTCCACAAGACAATACATACACACTTTATATCAGTAGTGCAAATATACATTACTACTCGTCCGCATTAACACGACACCTGAAGGCCTAGTCTACTTATCCGAAAATGAATTTAGTCTATTTTCAATAAAATAGACGAGAAGAGGACAAATAGACAAACTATAATCTTCTCTTTTAATAATATGTATAAAATTACTTTACAATAATACTTTTGTGACACAACCTCCGGTATTCTCTTCTTATAAGAAAAACAGAACTAATCATACAGCGCCGGCTCAAGGAAACTAGGCGCCCTAGGCAAAACACTCGAAGACGACCATAAAAAATCGTAAAAGAAATAATAATGCAGGTACACCGATTAAAGAATTTATTTTGCCAATGAATAAAGAAACTCTTTAGGTACAAACGGTTTGTAAATTTTGTTGGTACTTTTGAATAATGCGGACATGGGCTCATGTTATCACATTCAAGAACAAAAGTATTTTTTAAGGTACTGCATTTATAAGGTTAGGATTAGAGCAAACTGTTTGCCCTCTAAATACGAGTGCTCTAGGCGATTGCCTAGTTTGCCTATATGGATGAGCCGGGCCGTTATTATAACGTGTATTAGAATAAAAATTAAACTTCATCTAACGAGATAGTTATATAGTCCGATTATTGCGTTTATGCTTTGCGAGTAGGCGTACATATTCGAAAAGATTCATGTGTTCTGCTTTTTGTTGCTAAAATCAAACTCGTTCGCATTGAGCTTACATTGTCACCCGTTTCGAGAATTCATTACTTTTCAATTTAAACATATTGTAAGGTCATGATATATTATGTGCATTAATGACTAGTTTGTTATTTATTACACCACCACAATACTACATACAAAAACAAAAAAATAAGTAACCTTATTAGATCTTCCAAATATAGATGTACAGTCAACGTCACGTCAGGTTTACAAATGTGACATATTTTTACATTCGACTTAAAACCTTGACGATTTCTAAGTAGAGTTTAAAATTAACCACGCCTGTTTGACATATTTTGGCAACCTTACTTGCAACCGTTTGTTTATTATACTCGTAATATGAAACAATATACAGAGAGCAGTCCATATGATGCTTACTGATTTAGAAAATACGAAAGAAAGAAAGAATTTATAAGTAGTACGTAAGGTGAAGGACTGCAAAAAGTCTATTAATAAATAATCGTAAGAAAAAATATGCTTACAACAGAATGCTCACTTAAGAGTGGAGAACAACTTTGATGTATTAAAGCTTCGTTTGCACCTGCCTCCTCGGGAATAGAACCTATCATTTTCACATTTCATAAAATAGTTCCAACTCGCCAGGCTGTCTGCATAAATAGGAGCAAAGTCTTTTTTATTTCACGGCAACGAACTGGGGGCCAATTCTACTAAATAAATTTTGTTTAATTCGAATCGAAAACGTATCGAAAAAGTGACATACGACACAATTCCTGTTCTATTTTAGCTAGAATTGTATCGTATGTCACTTAGTAGAATAGAAAAACCATTAAAAACTGTAGTTTCGTTCGGTTTCGATCCGTTTTCGATTCGATTTAAAGAAAATTTGCACTTTTCAAATTTTCCAAAAAAACTTGTTTATATTATCAGAACAAGCTTGTAATAATTAAAATTTTATTTTAAACACATTTTATTATTTTAAATAAGACGCTTTACAATTTCTCCAAAGTATAAAATAGACTTAAAAGCTTTTGCGACTTAAAATTTTCCGTATTAGTAGTATTTATTATTAAAAGTAGTAAAAGTTAGTAATGAAAGTTCAATAAAAATGGAAGGGGTTGTATTCTTGAAAAACCAGTTTTAAAAATAATACCGTCTTGATCGATTGAAAATACGTATATAAGTTAGTTATATTATACAATAAGTCAGTCACACGGCCAAAGATGCATAGTTGGGATACTGCATTAAAATAACTATGGTACGTCGCGGTCTAGTGACACACTATACACAAATGCCAACCGCAAGCAATGATAGATAATGCACACGTACGAGTACTTACTATAAATATTTTGCTTGATTTCTTTAAGTTTATAGACATTTATTTCATATTGTTTCATTGTTAAAAAAATTAACGATATTCTTCCTCTTTATTTTAAAACATATATTGTTTTATTTTATGTGTTTTAGAATAAATTATAAATACAGGAACTTAACGTATTGTAGATTTTTTTTATACATATTTGTGGTATACACCAAGTAAAACGGTAAAATCTTTGAAATCACCTTCACATACAGATTGGTGATAAAATATAGGCACTCAGTCAAATCCTTAATACTCCTGTGAATATTAATAACAGATTGAAAAAATATAATTGCTAACGGTACATTCAAACAAAAAAATAAAAATCATCATCGATTTGAATGTAGGACCAAGTACGAGTATCATACTAATTATCTGGACTAATATTATAAAAAGGGGATATTTGATTGTCAGTTTACCTAGCGGAAAAACAAAGAGCAAAATTAAAACGAACGTTATTAAAACATTCAACGGTTATATTATAAGTAACACATATTAATACTGTCTAGCCGATTGCAATCTAAACGATATAGATATAGTAGATGGCCATGTCAATGTTTTAAACTACCGCAACATAATTTGGTATTCACTCAGCGCATGTTCTTGATGCTCTCTTTATGGCATCGTCGGTGATTTAATTGTGAATCACATTCAGATTAATCAGATTACTGTTTATCGATTGTTGATTAATAATATGTTCATTTTATTACTAGGTAGAATATTTAGGTAGAATTATATAAGACGGCTCGGCCACAAGATGTCT